CAAAAACAAAAAAGTCACCGATTATCATTTCTTCAGACCGTCTTTATTATCGCCGTCAAGGCGTACAACGAAAATTTCATGTAGTAGGCAATGTTAAAAATCGCGGTTATTACGGTCGTAATGGGACCAGGGAACCTGAAAGTTTAATGCAATTTAATAACACGTTCATTTCTAGTTTCAATACCGTAAATAGGCGCTTAACGTACCTCCACATCACAAAGAAATTCAAGTTCCCGGCAGCGAAACCGAGCGTGTAAAAGAGAAGGCATAAAGAAAGTCGTGTTTCGGAAGCTAGACCGCGGAACCAAACCGATAGCTAAATTTTCGGATGCTTTAAGTTAATAGTTACGTTGTTACCTGGAATTTCGAGGTATTGGCCTTTTGCGGGCATTTGACCACAGTTATTGCCTGATTTTTCGCTGGGCCGCGAAGATTCTTGATAGCTAAAAAATTGTGTGTTTTTTCGATTTCATAGACTAACACGTCTAGCCCCAGCCATTGAATGCAATTTCAGGAGTAGGATAAAATCAGTGATAAAGAGCGAAGCAACAGCGAGACCCTGAAAATTTGCTCAGATTAAAGGCATTTACAAGCCAAAAATCGACCCCCTAGCCCGCTAGGTCTCGACAGCTACGTGAAAAAGCGTGCACGTCGATCTTTCTGGATTGCCAAAATCAGCTTGGGCCCAGCTTGACGCGGAACTTATGTCTACACCTAGTGGATGGAAGGGGTCGGTTCTGGCATTTCCTAGCTCCTTTAGGCACGGAATGCAAAAGTAAAACTATTAAAAAAAATCATGTCTACCTGTAGTCCGTACCCAGCTACCACAAAATACGGATATCCAGGCTTCTCCGGGTCCAGGTTCCAAGAAAAACCGGGCACAAAATATTTGAAGCCACAGCAATCGAAGAGCAGAATTATGGCCAGTGCTAAAAATTTCAAAATAAAAAGCTATGGCGCAAGGTATCGAAAAATTACCAAGAGCAGGTAATAGAAGAACTGAAATGACAAACAGCATTGCTTTCGTAGTAATATTTTGATATTGTATCGGCATGTGAATGACCGCGAAATGGCATATTGCCAGTGATACCGTAAGCGTAAGTTGTCCGTACCAACGGAAAGCACTTATGAATACCTTGATGTTCACAAAAATCGGACCTAAAAAACCGCTATATTTAGGGGTGTTTCTGCTCACCATAAAGCTCTTGCTCGTACCACTGGTCTGGATGATCGTGAATGACGCGCAGTATATTGTCCATTAAATCAGTAATTAGACAAAATTGTATAATCCGATACATTGGTAGTAATTTTTTTGCGTGAAACATGGCAAATAGCCAGAAGGCTTCAACGGCTATCAGTATCAGGTCGATTATAAAGATTGCGATTAATTCGGCGCTCAACATAGACCGCACATTAATAGTAACATCACCGGGGGTTTTTAGGTTGCTGCACGAGCCGTTTTCGGTAGATCGGGAATGGCAACTGCCAAACTAGTATCCCTAGTCAATAACGTGGTGTACTTGGCGTGTTTTGGCCAAAAATTACTCCGGTACCGGTGCCCACAATAAGCCATAAAACGAATTCAGCCACTAATTCGACCTGCCGCTGCAAGACTGGAGCATATTTTCGGCGATACCACCCCACAACTTCCGCCTCGTATTGAATTTGCTCAGTGGGTAATCTATGGAAGGCCAGCGCGATGGCGCTACGGTATTGTGTTCAAGCCGTTCCCGAGCTGAAGCCTAGCGTAGCTTCGCGTTGCCAGTATCAATTTTGCAGGCCGCTTTCCGAGGCGATATTGGAAATGGTTTATCTTCATTTTGTCGAAAAATCAATTCGTCGTTACTGCATGTTGTCGGAATAGCATTTCGCCAAGACAACTAAAAAAAAACACACATTTTTAGGTCTAGCCTCTTTAGGGTCTGGCATCGCTCCAAAATTTACACCATGTACGTAGAGAAGCGCGCCATTTCCGTAAAGAGGATTTGGCAGGTGAGAGAGTACATATGTTGCAATGTACAGGGTGGCTGATAAGTATCCGGAAAAAGTATAATGTCCTGGTGTAAAAAGGAAAGCACGAAGGCAATCAAAACCAATTATTTTATAACAAGTAGAAGCTAAATATTCGTCGCTGTAACAAACTTTTAACCTGACATCTATCTGCTTCGATTTTGGCTACAATTTATGGCTATCCTAAAATGGCTGTGCGCCGCGGGCAGTTGACGGCTATTTTACTCAAAATCTTGTGAAATTCTTGGTGAAGATGAACCATATTCTTGATGCCCTGGTTCCTTAGTTCGTGTTCGATGCATTCCCGCACAGAAAAATCCAGTGGATTATGATCTGGGCTTTTGGCAGGTCATATAACCTTCGTCATAAAAGTGTCGATTTTCGGGTGAAAATGACGAATTGTGGTTTTTGGGCCCTAGCTCCGAGGCCGAGACTGTTGAAGGGCAATACAATGATTATTTCGATTACAAAACATCACATCTTGCTCCAGAATAGCATTTTGATAGAGGTTCACCTTGATTTTAGCGTTTTGATCGATGAAAACCTGTCGGAGACGCTAATTCCTCTTCTGACCATATAACTTTCTGGGATAAACCTTTTTGTAGTAATTTTTAACTTTCTTGTATTCTTCAGACCCGGACTGACAAATTATCGGGGTTTTTGAAAGTTCTCAGACACCTTAACCCAGAAAATTTTCTCGTCAAAACATTGACTACCCCAGGTGCGGCGCACCTAAGCTTAAGGAAATGACGGCTAAAGACAGCTTCTCGGCGCTCCGATAATTTACTGTCCTAAATCAACTCAATTTTAGTTATGAAATATCAAAGTATATACAAGTACATACACAATGGCTAGGAGAAATGAATATAAAACTCAGTGGTTTTTTTGTTACGCCATGTCAAAGTTTTTCCGGATACTTATCAGCCACCCTGTATTTTCAGCACGATGATGCAAATTTGGAATTTATGAATTAGCGAATGATACAATTATGGCATGCTGAGGGTTATGACGAGAAGTGCAGCAAGGGTCGTTCCAATGCCTAAAAACACACACGAATTTTTACGAAACCCTGGCTAAAACAAATTCTCAAGCATAAAGGATTTTTCCTACCCCTTGCAGAACTAGGAGTCCAAAAAGTGTCCTCACCAGTCGAGTATCTAAACATATAATAGTGTTTGTAAATTTGGTTTGCCTTATAAAAATATTGAGTGCGCATGCATCTGGAGAATCCAGCACCGAGCAGCTCCAAGCGTACGATACCATCGCAGTGCTTTCATCCGTGTTTAACGCATAATTTGTGGCATCATTGAGCAAACTAAATTTGCCGTAAAAGCGTGATGCGTCAGAACTCACGTGATGCGATTTGCGTAAGCCACCTCAACTTCCATTCCGGCGGGGATCGGGTTCATCAGCCCGAAGACAAGTCCACCCGAGCCACCGAGCTGCTCGCAGGTCTAGATCGTTTACTACAACATTTTTGGATTAAAAAGGCATAAGTAAAAAATGCAAGACTTGAACGGTAAAATGACAAAATTTTGAGCTACAGGTTCGAGAGGTAGCTCATTTGAAAATCATCTTTTTCTACGCCATGATATATTTATCCATAAAATTCTACAAAAAAAAATTCATCATTTCGGCCAGTTTGTAACAAAAATCTTCGTAATTTTGAAAATCGGGCTCTTCCGCACAATTTGAGAAGCAAATTTGGAATCTGCGAAAAATTATGCACAAGGTTTTTTTTTGATCCCGGATAGAATTGCCAGCTTATATAAAAACTTCCGAAAGTTGGGCAATGGAAGTATAACGCAAGCCGCCGTGTAAGAGGATTAATAAATTACGCAAAGAAAAAAAGCCGCGGGGTACGGGTTTCTCGAACATCAACAGCGTTTTCTGCCCCTGTAAAGCCCCCACAGTATACCCGTTCTCGCTTGATTTTGCGCTTCGTTGAACTTACTTAAAACTCGAACTTACAGCGTTAACTCGATATGCCATCGCCTGAGCACCGCTACGATTACAGTATTGTGGAATGTCCAACACGCCGGACATGCAGCCCGTGACGAATTGTGTATTGCACGCTGAAGCACAGCATATTACAAAAAAACGATTGTAAAGAAAATCGTGATACCGCCATTGTTTTACCTAGACTTGTCCCCCGGCTTGCCGTCAAACTGCAATAGTCCGCACTGATCACGTCCAGTATAACAAAGTGCGAAAATATTTCTGCTGGCATTACATCGCGGTGGAAGACACGGTCCCCGATTTTGCCTAGACCGCTGGGCGTTTTGTTAGATCTGCTCTTTTGTGAGTTACCCGTAAAACTGTGTCGTCTCCGACTCGATCAGGCCCTTAAAAAAGTTGATCGCGCAGAGGCCCTTCAACTCGAACGAGATGCGGGGCTGGGGTTCAGTTGCATGCTGAGAATCGAAAAATGCGGAGAAAAAATAGGGCTGCTGATACCCGATAGTAAATATATTTTCCTTCAGAGCCCTTTCGGAACAAGTATTTGTCATCGTCGTCGATGCCTTGTGGAGCGGAAAGGAGAATGCGGTAGTCTTTTGCCGCTGAAATGATTAGTTTTTAGCTTTTAGCATTTCACGACTTCCCTATGTTTCTGGCAATTATCATTAACGTGTGGCAAAAGACGCTCTGGGCCAAGGCAAACATTTGCTATAACTTACAACCCAAATCATAAACATTACTTCAGAAGTCCATTACTGGAAAAGTCGTTACTTTGAAAAATCCTTATTTGCAAACGTTGTGACTTCAAAAAAATATGCATAGCGGATACGCCTATTTTGCATTTGTCCATATTCTAGAAAAAAAAATTCGCGATTCTGGGAATTGCCGAGATTTTAAAAATTTTCCGAGATTATAAAAATTCGAGGTTCTGATTTACGAAATTTTGGTAGGTTCCGAAATAACATTACCATCACTATTCGCAAAAAGCTGATGGTACGTCGCGCATTGACCCGTGTCTGACAGTGCCTGAATTTCGATGCGCAACTGCCTGGGCGTGATTGTGAACACGGTTTGATTGTCGCCACTGAAATTCCGCGGTTTTGAGGTATATCCAACACAGCACTACTGCCCATTGGTGATTCACAATTGATCGTATGAGTCAAGGCAAGGCTTCAAAATTTCAAGTGATGAATTGACCAACTCGTTCGGCATGGCGATCGATTTCCCGTCCAGTGTAGCGACAATCTGATAGCATTTTTGGCTGGCTGGCGGGAAGTAGACGGAGGTCAGCGCTCTGAATTTTTAGGAATTTTTTATTGGATATTTACAGGGTATCCCAATACCGCCCGTCAGCGTTTTACGGTTTTGTATGGGAACGGGACCAAACTTTTACCAGCGATGGGCACCTATCAAAAATTCCGAATTCCGAATTTTCTAAGCAGAATATTGCAAAACACAAAAGTAATAGCGAAAATAAGATTCATTTGACCGATCTCCCCCGGAAATTTGACGGATTTCATAACGAAATATTTGGCAAAAATGGAGAGCGACCACTTTTTCCCTGCCCAAATTCTTTGTTTTGTTTCTAAACTTGGCCTTGATCACTCTTTTTTATCAAAATTGGCAGAAACCTAGCCGAAAATTACTGTTTTCCGGAAAACTACTGAACATCGGCATGCTAATTGTGAAAACAGCCAAAAGCAAGTGCCAATCTTTCCAAAAAAAGGTCAGTTCTTAGCGATAACTTTTTTCTTCACAATATTTTGCTTAGAAAATCGGCTGCACATAGTTCTTATGGGTTCCCATTGCTGGGTAAAATTTCTGCCCGATAGGATAGAAGACGGCCAAACGCCGAGGGGCGGTTTTTTCCTGGGGCACCCTGTAGTTGTCTATGAAATGGATTTAACGCGTAGTTACGTTTTGCAGTCATGCTGCGCCAAATTGTACACGATGGCCTCGCCTTTTTGTAAAAGAAGCTGGCCGGTGACGTCGACAAATTTTGTCTTGCACATGTCGTACGTAAAGTTGGCAATGATCCCTGGAAACTCGCGGATTGTTCTATCGCTTATTGTTAGAGTTCAGTTTACCCCCCCCAGCCGACACCCAACGTTTGCATCTCGGCTCCCTGTTCATCTACAGTTGTGTTGAGTTTACCAAAATGTTCGCCTTGCCCTGGCGAGTACCTTGGTATACTTTACAGACCCCTACAACAACGGGTTGTCGAGATACAGTAGGTGGGGGTCGGCGGGGGAGGGGGGAACTGAACCATAGCCACTCTATCTAACTGTAAAGTGTTTTTACTCAAGTTGGAGTTTCGATTCGGGACCAAATGCATCTTGTGCAGAATTTTTTTGCTGATACCGAATCCGTTTTCCAAATTTGCTGCGGACTTTTATTTAAAAAGTCATTTTTGGTGCAAATTAAGCTTGAAAAAGCCAAAAATTCGGATCCTGGTCCACTATTCCCTCCATGGTTCTGCCATGGCCAGGGGGCCCTGAAGTACTCGGTCACAGCTCCCCTCCCGGTTGGCACCATGGTGCATTGGCAAAGTACTCGCTTGCCAAGCGCAGGGCGGCGGTTCGGATCCCCGCCCTGCACCTTTCTTTTGCTTTTTGCATAAAAAAATTTAATTTTTTATAAAAAAGCTTGTTTTGACTTTTAAGATGCTTGTCTAGCCAATCACTAGCCAATTTTGAAGTTGAAATTGCTCAGGAAATTGAAAACGATAACGGTTCCTTGATTTTGGTGAAAAACACTACCATAACTGCTGTATAACTTTCAAAATAAAAGTCCGCAGCAAATTTGGAAAGCGGATTAGGAATCAGCGAAAAATTCTGCACAAGATGCACTTGGTCCCGAATCGAAACTCCAACTTGAGTAAAAACACTTTACAGTAAAACATACCATTTACAGCCGGAAGTACTACACCCTTGTCCCTTGGTTCGACAAGGTAATCTCCAAGCAAGGGACGGGACTGCATTGAGGCATCGGGTTCTGCATAGGATGTCCAGAAAATAACGGTCAACCAAAATAATCGACTCTTCAACATTCCCTGCCTAGGCATATAGCTCCCGGCTTAAAGTCCAGCAGGTACAGCTCGCACAGAAAAAAAAAAAATAGAGCTCAAAAAAACCGAGTCGATCAGTGCCTCGACCGATAAAGCTATATAGACGCCTGGTGAACGCGCATGCATCGAGATAAGACTTTTGGCCCCGGGAACGTGTCGTCGATAACATTACTTGGGGACCGCGGTGAGTTCACGTTCAGGTTTTGAAATAAATTTACATCATGGCCAAAAACTGCCCAAAAAATTGTGTGAAGGATAAGAATGCATCTACTAAGATTGTGTATCGATTTTCTTATCTTTCTGGTTTTGCGAAGGAAACATAACCCCGACTAACCGTCGGTGTAACGATCGGCCCTTACAATTGCAGGTACGGCGTAGTGTTTGATCTCCCTGGTGATTCATCAATGGCTGACGCACTTTCGCTTTTTCGACTTTTTTATTGCCCGTTCAAAATGATAAAAATTTAAAAAAACAAAACAATTTCCGGCCGGGCCTGCCTCCGGCCAGTCTTTAAACGACTGCCTACGGCATGTGTCGATCCCCCCCCCCATCAACAAATTGGCATGTAGCCAACAGGGGAAGAGAGGGCGTCCTGGGAGAGAGGCGCAGAGACATTTTATTTCCAGCGCGTAACTGATTGACTATACCGTCGGCATCCCCTTAATAACATTCGAATTTTGCACACGAAGCGTCAGGGTACAGAAAGTGTGTATTGCCTTATCAAGAGTTTATTCTCCCACCAACTACAAACGCCCCCGCATCACTCCATGTGCCCAGTCGCCCTCCGCGACATGAACGGCGATTCCAAACAGCCCAATAAAATGCCAGGGTTTTCATTCAATACTATTTTTTGTATTTTCAAAATATCCTGCTCTTGTCGTGACAACAACAAACTGACAATGAGCCAATCCCTTTAACGATATCTAGTCTTATTGATTGGAAACGGATACTTACCTCATGTATATTGTATTTCTGCACGCCAACAACTAATTTTCAAGTTAGTCAAATCGGTCTTTTCATCGAACATCCACAAGGTATTCCTAATTTCTCTGAGTTTTAGGTAATTTGTAAAGTATCCAATGATTCACTAAATTGGGAGCAAGGCCTTGAATCATCACATGGCGAATAAACATAGTAGCTGATTGTCGGTAACAAGATCGAGGATCCAAGGACGGCTTTTTTGAGTTGCTCATTGAAAAATTCTGAGTCAGCTCAGTGCAATACACCTCAATGGATCAAATTTAAATGAGAGGGAAACGATAGGGTTTAAGCAAACCTTTTAGCAATTCTTGTATGTTTATCCATTCGACATAAATCCCAGAATTGTGCAAATTCAGTTTGTTACCGTTAGCAATAGAGGGGCCGTCACTTGCTCAGCAGCGCTTCGGTGGCCGCTTCACTGTGTGCTGGGCCTACAAAAACACCAGTTGACGCCTCCCATGGTTTAGAAAAACGTCATTGGTACTTGTTTAAATGCATTCGCCTCTGATTTTATCTTTACCTTATATTTTTAATGGGCATTTAAAGTTGAGCGTAGCTTACCGATTGCTGCCAACTTGACGGTAAAGTCATAGTCCATGCCCCAGCCGTAATGATTTTTGCAAATTGTGACAGGAACGCGGTTTGTGTGACTGTGGTATAGCTCAACGAAATCCTCTAAATCCTCCCGAGCGGGGGGCCCGGGTTCGACCCCTCCAAAAAAACGTCCCTGAACGTGCCCTTTAACCCTCGCCCCGTCTGATCTTGTGATTTACTGCACTTTGCATAATGCTTCAATTTCCAAGAACAAAAAATGAAAATCGCACACTTTCACTTAAAAACTTAAAAGAATTACCCCTAAAACCGTTTGTTGCTAATCTAGCTAAGCTGATAAAAAAAATAACGGTTTCCCGGAATAGAGTGTGAAAGGGGGCGAATTGAAGCACAATAAACAGCAGTGTAAGGGAATGTTTGCAAAGGCACTCTGCGGCCAGAAAGGACAGTAAATTATACGAGGATTCATTTCAAAGATATACAAATTTATTTGTCAGTATTAACAAAATATGGGTAACAATCCTCATCGAACATCCACCAGGTATTCGTTGGGGTTGATGGTTGGTCTAGAAAAAGTTAAGCTTTCGAAAATCCATATCTTCTTTACTTTTCAATCCCTTTAACATGTAAAGCTCACCTCACGATATCTACTCTTTCGTCGTTTCGGCGAAACCTCGAGATAATCGGTGTCAGAAACGGTATTGACGCCTCGGATCTCCAGTGTCGATACCCAAAATAAGCCGGAAATGCGGCACCGCAAACCGCTAGTATAATTATTAACCACATCCCATAGCTCGTTGGTGGTGCTTGGTAATCTACACAAATTATAACGGTAATAAATCGTACGTACCATTTGTTATAGTGATCTTAAAGCCATCGGCCGTTCCTGCCGGTCCGGTCATAAATCGTATGCGGAGCGTTTCATTTGAAAAGTAGCGTACAGCACCGGATGTGAGAGGGGCATATCTGGAGCGTAGCATTCGATTTTTTGGAGGTATAAGTAATCTACCGTATCCTCCCGTACTCGTCAACCTTACTGCCGGTCAGCAACAAATCACCGTCCCTTTCCAACTTGATTTCGGAGCCGTTGATCTAAAAGGGCGTGAAAAAGTGGAATTCAAATAAAGATTCGAAGGTGTAGCTCTATATTTTTAATGATATGTAAAATAGTCAAAAAATCGTAATAAATACCTTAAAAATATTATATACCTTAAAGCCGGGAGCACCAGGGGCGGCTCGGAAAACGAAGAAACAATCCAGCATGTCACAATATCTAAAAAACCCAGTTTCAAAGAGAATTTTGGCTTCCGAATGCAATAATTAAATTAGTATTATATTTTTACAATACAAGCTGCAAAATACAAATTTAAAAGGTTATTCTTATGCTTTAAAAGATTAAGCTAGAAAAAATAGCGACCTTTTGGGGTATCCCGGCGACTTCAAAACAAATTCCTCCCCATTTGCCAAAAATTGATAAGAAGCGTTTTTCCAGCAACCGCATTCTGAATTTAGAGATGTTTGTATGTACTTTAATAACGTTTTTTGTCAAAGCGGTATAACTTTGAAAAGCTGCCCAACTCACTCGGCTTGGCCATCACCTTCACATAGAGATGTTCCAACACCCCGGAGCTGTCCTCGGCTTCAACGACGGTTTTTTATAGAGGAGACGTGCAGATATAAGCGCTTTGCTAGTCTAAATGGAAGAAGCTAATGGCCTCTGTCCTTCGGACTAACTTGTAGTGCTCCGCATTCTGACTCGATTCCCAGTAACCCACCCCGATCCGGTCGGGGTACAGGATTCGTTCGGTCACATCGACGATGGGCCTAGGAAATCATGTTTTTGCATAGTCTCAAAAATTTGATATTGTCGCGTTGTTTTTAGATTCTTTCGACACCTTTCGATAAAGCATCAAGCAATATACCTAAATTTTGGATGACAGCTCGACCTAATGTAAAATAAAATAGTTATGCTCATAAAAATCAATGTTTGAGAATGGTTTGAAATATTAGTTTGCTGTTTTTCGTTAGGTGTTTAACGGTATTTTAAAAACACGAGTTGATAGAGCATCAAAAAATATCCCATGCTCTTTAATTTCAGCCGAAAACAAGGCACGATGAAATACGGCACAAACAAGCAAAATTCGGTACCACTGTTCATAATGGCAAGCCGCAAAATAAGCGAAACTTACGAGCCCGGCATCATCGTCATACGTAAGTCGACTTTTTCGTCGTAATTTGCCTTGCTGCGGTCAATCAATATGTCCATCTCATGGTCATGATCAACCGTAAATTGTATCCAGCAGTCCATTGGAGGGCAATGCTTTGGCGCCAGCACTTTGTATGCGTTCGCCCATTTCTTCGGGTCCGATCCGGCATCCAGCAATAAGCTGTCGGAGTCCTCGAAACAGCGACACGCTAAAAATTGTAAAAAGAAAATCACTAGATTGTCAAATAAAAGTGTCAATTATTTAAGAAGTTATTCCGCCTTTATTTTAAAAAATCTCATAAAAATCAAGATTTCTGGTTAAATTTTCACTTTGCCTGAATGGACCACGGAGAAGTGGGCGCAAATCCCTAATTTTTGCGGTTTTTATGCTTAATTTGCACGTTAAATGATTATTCAATCAAATTTGGACAAGAACATTTGGAAAACAAGTTCGGAATCAACAAAAAATTCGGTACACATAGGATAACGGGGGGGAATAAAATAACGGGGGCACTCATTATTATGAAATTTGCAATTACTGAGGGATTTTGCGAGTGCCATTCGATAAACCGTCGAAAAATATACTAAGAGAATTAATTTCAGCCCGAAATAATGTAATAGAAATTTTTTATTGAATAAACAAAAATTGAGGAAAATCTATGGGCAGCACATAGGATAACGGGGGGGGGGGAAGTCAAATTTTCGAAATTTTCGACATTTTCGGTATTTTGAAAACGTCATTCGATAAAGCGTCGAAAACTGCCCTAGGAAAATTAATTTCAGCCGGAAATAATGTAAATGAAATTTTTTATCGAATTAACAAAAATTGATGAAAATCCATGGGCAGCACATAGGATAACGGGGAAGCCAAATTTTTGAGATTTTCGATATTTTGAAAACGCGAATCGATAGAACATCAAAAAATATACTAAGAGATTTTTTTACAACGCGAAAAAATGTATTATAAAAGTTTTATAGCCTAAAAACTATTTTTGAAAACCATGGGCAGCACATAGGATAACAGGGGGGGGCGGGGGGGGAATTTTTCGGCGTTTTGAATATTTTCGAAATTTTGAAAATGCCATTCGATAGAGGACCGAAAAATATACTAAGAGTTTTTTTTACAGCCCGAAAAAAGCTTATTTAAAAATACTTTTATCATATAAAAAGTTTGAGTGCCCCCGTTATTTCCCCCCCCCCGTTGTCCTATGTGTACCAAAAATTCTGCGCAAGAATCGCTGGGTCCCAAAGCGAAACGCCAAGGTATGTTTTGATATTTACTTCAGCAACACAACAACACCTACTTTTTGGAAGCCACCCCATCTCTAGGGAAAATGCTGCGGGGGCCGGTCCGGAGCGAACCTTGAACTTCTCGGTGAAGATGATCATGGAATGCTGCTGCTGGGCACTCCACACACTAAAATGTTGTTTTATACAGGTGTCCAAAACCCCAGTTTTCCGATTTTCTTAGTTCCAGATTTTTCTCAGCGAAATCGACCGAATATTTATTAATGCTTATCCGATCAAACGGTCTTATACAAAACCACAATTAATGAATCTTCACGCCTTTTGGAAACGCCCAATGACAGCTTTTGAAAGCCATCTGGGAAAAACATGGCTTGGATGGCGCTTAAAGGGGGTCCGAAATCTGGTGCACGGGCCCCAGCGTTGATTCCTGGCAAATAGCCAGTTGCGCCGCAACGCGACCGCGTCGCACGTTCTCTAGTCGCTGTTTGGAAGGTAAAAAGCGTGAATCTCGAAATTCTAACGTTATTTCTGGAATCCCCATCGAATTTTGATCATTCTAGGCGTTTCAAATTATGAAGTTTGACCAGAGAATCACCGAGATCGAGAGATTGGGGGCCTTAAAACGCATTACGACATGTAATCGCCCCGCATTGAAAAAGTCGTTTTCGCCGCGAAGAATGTAGTCGAGATGCGAGGAATGTCAAGGTGTGGTTTTACACCTTGGAAAAGCGACCTGGGGGCTTGGCAACTTGCACTTTTACTAATTTCTAGGACGTAAACTAACGTCAAAACATCATTCCTGGCCTCTTCGTCGAAGCCGTCCAACTGCAGCGTGAACGCCTTGACGTGACCAACGCCTGGGGAGGCGAACATTGGGTGGTCGGGTTTTGTCTGAAATTTGGATGCGCAGATTAGCACCATTCCCGGAGATAACCTGACCGTAGTTACGAATTACCAGGTAGTTAAAGAACACTGCCGTTCGGTGGGTGTCGTTTTGTTTGTGTTCGACGGTGATCTCAGTTGTACAGGCCCAGTCGACACATTCTCCATAGTTAAAGTGGGGGTCATGGAAACTGACTTTTCGCTCCATCTTTAGTAGGAAGGAGTTGCGGCATTGACAAGCTAAATGGAAGGTGTATTTGTTGTTCTCTCTCTCCGTTCCCCCTCACCCTCTCTCTCCCCTTCTCTCTCTTTCTCTCCCTCTCTCACTCTCACTCTCTCTCGCTGGAAAAAAATAATTACGGCTTTCCGTCACATTTGCCATAAATTCAAAAGCAAGCGCCCCGCCGATTCGTGGTTCCAAACATATCTGAACCAGCAATCGATTTGTAAACCCGTGATACAGGTCATTCTCGTACTGCTCGAGGTCGATTCCACTGCAATAAAGGGTTAGGACAATTTTGTTTAGGTTCCCACCCCTCGCAGTCACCAATCTTCTTCTGTTCTTCGATGACGTGCAAGTCGCCGACAAAGTATTTTTCGGAGCCAGTGGCTGAAAAGACACTTTGGGAGCTGTGGACAACGATGGTTTTTTTGAGGATACAACTCACAATTGGAATCCAGGGCGTTGAAGTGAACGGCTTTTCCCTGGGGTGCTACGAGGAGCAGGGAGCAAGCTAAAACCGTGTAGCTTTTCATGTATTCTGAAGTCTTTTGGATCTGGACTGTACTAATGCGGACGGGTTTTTTATGGGGGAAGAAGATTTCTCCCAAATAAATCCATTTAATGGCATTTTGTAGAGTGTATAATTTTAAATTTTAAACTACTAGAAACCCCTATAATATATGTACATTATATATCATCAGCAGGTTAACAACAAGAACGGAAAAAAACAAGGAGTGCCCCCCCCCACCCGCTAACAACCCCTTTCGGCTATCATCACTCTTAAATCCTGCTCCTATTAAACACCACAAACTTACATGCGGATATGGAAAACACAGCCGGCTCCCAATACACCCGGGTCGGCCCCGCCAATTTTCGGACTGGGGGTGGACACGGGGTAGCTTGACGCACGTTGCCTGGCACGGGTTTGGGTGCTCCTAAATTGTCACTATTCGCTCGACTTGGCTACGGTTTACTTCCCCCCCCAGCCGCAATGTTTTGGCTATAGCTTTTTTATTTTACGGTTTTGTAGGCTCAAACTAAAACTCATGGCATATTTTTCGACGCCCTATCGAATGGCGTTGCAAAAATCCCGGCAAAATCAGCGAAAATACCGAAAACTTTGAGACCTTTCGGCTGTGGGGGAGGGGTAATGCAAAGCCTTGTCCTCGATTTTGCCTGCCTGCAGGGGGCCTTTTAAAGAGTATTAGACCCACCGTCCATGGCCCGCAAATATAGTGAAAAGTGTCGCCCCTCATGCGCGTTCGTATCCGCGTGATTTTGGAAGATGACCTCGAGCGTCGTGTTTACGGCCGTGTAAAACTCGATTCCGTCATTTTTGCGTATACTAGGTGATGTCAATACTTCGAACTCGAGAGCATTACAATGCTCGCGGGATACGGTAGGTGATTCCCTCCAATTTGTAGATTTCCCGGACCTCCAACCAATCATTGACGCCGTCGGGGAATTCAGCACGGGCGTCAAGACGCAGAAAATAACCGGGGAGTGGGGTTATCTAAAAATGGAAAAACGCCGTTTGCCAGAGAATCGAATTAGCTTGTCACAGTTTTTCGACCCCGGCTTCTTGATGCAATCTGATAGAGCCTGCTTGAATCAGTATGACTGCATATTTTAAAAGTTTAACAGGATTTTAGGGGATTGTTGCGACTGCTTTTCAAAGTCACCAACCCACCAGATATGTACAATTCCAGCCATGGCCATAATTCAGGCCCGCGCCGTTTTCCGGAAAAATGTCCACAGACCCGTTCAGCCGATCGATCACAATAATTCCGGAATCACATTTCCAAGGGTGTTGTATACTTTCCGTCAACTCCTCATCATCTTCGTATTCGACTAAATGAGGATAAAACGTTTTCGGCAAAACTTAATCCCCCCCCCCGCAGCCGGACGTTCCCAAATATTTTGCGCTATAATTTTTTATTTAACATTATTTTGGCTGCAACTAAAATTCAGGTTACCGCATTTCCTCTAATATAACTACGGGGTTATATTTTTTCGATCACCCGAGGGAAGCGGTTGTATTAGAGAGAGGGATACATTTTTCGTGATCTTGAGCAATTACAACGATTTTAGCAACTTAAACTGGTCACAGCCACTCGGGAACATCGCACGAAGGTTAAGCAGAAAAGTTTTTTGCAGTTTTTAATTCTCAATGCAACTTCGGAAAAATTGTTTCTGGGGTTGGGAAGGTAAATTATGGAAATCAACGTCTAGCCGTAATTTCTTTTGATAAACTAACTATTTTCCGATTGGTACGCCTCTGCCATCAACAAATTAACAATTAGCGTAGGGAATATAATTTGTGTTAGCTGCCGCAACATGTTCCAAGCGCCCACGCCGGTTGGTTGTTTCCGGCTTTTCGGGCGCTGCCGATAACACCCCGATAGTTTATAAACTGGGACTGGTGATGGGTAACAAAAAAGCTAAAAGTGGGAGCTGGTTGCGAAAGAGAGGAGTCCTAAAAAGTATGAAAATATGCCACATTGGCCAAACAAACGACTGGCGCTCCAGATTTCGGGTGATCCGTTTTAAAAAGAGCGTCCAAAAAAATCCAAATGAGCGTTGCTTTAATAAAATGTAAGGTGAGGCATCTATGGAATAGTGTTAGTCGACTTCTAATTTCCTACATCATTATCAGCTTCAAAATTTTGAATGTCCCACGTTGTAATCGGCTTATAAGCCATGTATTTTAGATATGTTCGTGCCCAACGTCAATCAGACAGCCCAAAGCGGCCAGTGCAAACTTTTTATTTAAAATGATGATCCTTTTCCCCGACGTTGGCGGTGAATTCAAAAGCTATCCCGTCGGTGTCCCCTCGCCCGAAGCAAATATGCACCAGGAGTTGGTTCGAGAGCCCGTGATACAAGCCATTCTCGTACCGCTGCAGGTCGACTTCCCTAGAACGATGATTTCCAGGATCGCTGCGCAAACGGCCCACCCGCCGCAATCGCCAAGGTTTTTCTGTTCTTCTACCATTTGCAAATCGCCGACGAAGTATGTTTGGTGGCATTGGCTAAAACGTGGACTTGAGAGACGAGGGAATCGGGTTTCCCCTCAGGTTTTCTGACTCACCGTTCGGATCCGGGCCATCAAACTGGACAACGTTGCCCTCGGGGGCCACGAGGAGCATTGAACAGGCTGAAAATCAAAGTTAGGTATCCGTCGAAGATGCGGTCGAAAGATATATGATCTTTTTTATTTTTTGGTGCTCTATCGAATGGTGTTGCAAAATCCCGACAAAATAAGCAAAATACCGAGAACTTTGAGACCCTTCAGTTGTGGGGTGGGGGGAGGGTAAAGTAAAGTCTTACGGGGTAAAGTCTTTTTTTTTATTATTTTCTGATTTTGTGATTTACAATGATTAATAGAAACTCACCGATTGTCATGAGGTGATAGATCCCAGTCCTTTCTGAGAAGACTCGGGTTGACTGGGTCAATTTCCGGACTGGTGGTGGACATGGTTGGGCTTGTAGTTCCTTGGCTCTCCCCGCTGTCGCAGAGCCTATTAAATATATCTTTATTAGCGTATTTTTTCGAAACACTACCATCATGCGCCGCGAAATGAATTGAAAAAGTGCGCTCTCCATCCGCCACATCGTCCTCATCATTTTTGAAGATAATCTCAAGCGTCGTGTTGACGGCCGTGTAAAAGAAGACAGCACCTTGTCCGCGAACACTTCATTAGTGTTTTGTGGTAAATAGTCAGAATTAACAACTCTACAAGGCGCGTGGGATACGGTAGGTATTGCCCTCGAGCTCGTAGACCTCTCGGATCTCCAGCCAATCATTGACGCCCACCGAGAACTGAGTTTTGGCGATAAAGCTGAGGAAATGGCCGCGAAGTGGGGTTATCTGAAGAAAAGGTCCAGAATACCAAAAAAGCTTATTCGTCTCCGCCCTGGAATTGATTTCTATTTGGGA